GTTTTGCCATCAATCACCATGGCAAACTCCAGTTCCTCGTCGATAAAGTCTCCACTGCTCATGCTACCAGTTCCGCCAGTCATGTTATCGGTTTTCGGTTCGAAATCGTGGTCACACAGGTCTCGATTGAAGCTATTCTCAGTAACGTCACGGTTTGGTAGAGCCGGATAAACCTCATCATAGTGAGCAGGGCTCTCTGTCGGCGCCGCATCAGCGCCAGCGTGTTCACGACGAGGCAGACGTCTCCGCTTCTTTCGAGCTTCTGCTTCTTCGTCACGCCCCACCAACGCTAGTTTGACGATGTCCCACAAGTACAAGATCGCTCGCTTCAATGCTTCCCACAACACACTAATGGCCGACGAGGTTTCATCAGATCCCCACTTGTCCTCCACGAGATCGACGTACAATTCCTCCAGTCTTGTACGCAGCGAGCCCTTGTCACGTTGACCCAAGACGATCACATCCATGTTGTCATCGATCACATGCGACGACATACCAATACTTAGCGCAGTTTCCTTCTTGTCACCCGTGAGCACCCAGAACTTAATCCCAGCCTTACGTAAAGCACAAATGGACTCCTCCACGCCGTCCTGCAGTCGGTCTTCAATAGCTGTCGCACCAAGCAACGTCAACTCCACCTCAATGATAGCTGAGACCTTAGCAATCTTAGCAGCGCGGCCGTCCATAGAAAACTCTGCTTGACGGTACAGTTGGTTCCACTGGTCATACTCCTCCTGGGTAAGACGACGCAAAGCAGTCGTCAACGTCCGCAGACCTTCCGACGCATACTCCTGGAGATGACCCCGCGTCACGTGTGCTACACCCTGAGGCTGTGACTTGGACAGTAGATCAAAAATAATATCGTCAGCACCCTTGCAGTAGAGCACAATACTGCCGTCCGGGAAGCGCACAATGACCGACATACGCTTCCTGTCGCTGTTAAACTCCAGCACATTCAGAATTTCAAACGACATGGGTCTGCCCTGGATGAGTGTGTGGCACATTGGGCCGTCACGCGAGTCGAGCACGTAGCCGAGGTCGGCAGCAGCCAGCACAAGAGCTTCTTCGTCTGGAGATGACGCATTGTACTTGATCGTCGGAGTTTCCACCGAACACGAGTCACTACTGGACGTAGGAGACGTAGGGACACTGGTTTCCGGGATTACAGTGTTGCAAATCGTAAGCAGCAACAAGAAGTCGTGAATTTCCTTCTTGGTCGAGTGGTTCGAGTTCAATCGCGCCAGCAATCGCCCATCGTTAAAGCGTGTGCCCGGTCTCGCCCGCTTCGCAGGGTCCACTTCAATGTCATTGTAGCGGAGACCGCCGATCGTGCACTTGGCAAAGATCATCTCGTTACAAGTGAGAGTACCTGTTTTATCAGAGAAAATGTACTGAATCTGTCCAAGATCTTCGTTGATGTTACTGTTGCGAACCTGCGCTGGTGTGTCGGTCTTGGTGTCGTACATTTCCAGATCGTTTTCGATATATCGCGCGTGCACGAAGCGCACACCCTCCATCGTCACGTACATCGAGAGTGGGATCAAGTTGTTGAATAAGATAACGTAACTCAAGAAGATGTAGCCATTCGAGTCTTCCCGAATGTACCACGGCGTCGACTCATCGGCCAGATCCAAGTTCCAGTTGTTATTGCCTAGCGTGCAAGCAATCGAAATCCCGAAAAGCAGCATCAGAACCAGCACGAACATAGTATCCAAAGTCTTCTCCACAAAGCTGCGCTTCAGCGGCACTGCGACCGAATTCATCTGCACCTTCGTCTCCTTTCCCGAATAGATCACAAGTCCAAGTGTCCACTCAGCGTTGCGGCTTTCGCTGCCTCGCAAGATCAAGTTGTCCATTGTCAAACTGGTTTCCGTGTCTTCTTTGTTGGCGTCAGCAACAGTGTCGTCTGCGATTTTTCCAAGCCTCAAAACACCGTCAAAGTAGAACAAATCCTTGTTCGGTACATCGCACTGCACCTCAAGAGTATACCGATCCAAGATCTCTTCAGCCGTCAAGAAGTGCTTCGTGCAGCTGGCCACCTGTCGGATCTTCAGGTTCGTTTCTCCGTCCAAGTTCGCTGTCTCCACGTAGCACCTGCCATCCGGTCGACTCGTAGCCAGTAGAATACAGTCCGCAGGAACCTGATCGCCATCCCTAAGTAGCAGTACGTCTCCCACTTCAATATCCTGCCAGGTGCCATCAATGTGCATCACCTCATCCAACTCATCACGACGCACAATATGAGCCGGTCTGGAATTAACCTGAGCGTCTCCCTTCTGTCTACGACGATCCTCACTCACATCTTTCAATGCAGACGTCGCAAACACGATCAACAGCGGCGTAAGACTAGCCACGGGGCTAACGGGCGAAAAGTCGAAGAAGCACAACGCCACCACGATCGTCGTGTACAGATTGGCGAGTCGACTGAACTGCATCTTGAGAAAGACGAACAGGAAGTTGTAGTACGTGTACTTGCTCGTGAGAATGAGGTTGGAGCAGAACACGGGCGCCTCTTCCTGGGCCTCTGCCTCCTTCTTGCGCTGCTTCTTGGTCTTCAGTGCTCCCGGTAGCGACGCTGATATGCCCGAATGAGTACGTCTTAGACTGCTGTTCGGGATTCCTGGACCGACAGTGATGTTACGACGTGCGGATGGACCTTCGTCCAGGTCCATCTCGGCCGACGGGTTAATGGACAGCGTCTGGTGCAGCGAGTTAACACGCTGCGGGGACGGCATCATCGTGGCCAATGCAGCTCGGTCGCATTCTCTTTGGTTCTGAACAGCCTTGACGATGCGACGCAGCTTCCAGCCGTATAGAAAGCCGGTGATGTTGAGCATAGTCAGTAGGATGGAGAAGAACCCTTGCATGAGCACCGAAGTACCGCTACTGACACTGTTAAGCTTGCCATTGTAGCCCTTGTAGTACCAGATTACGTCCACTAGCAACGTGAGCTGCATGCCGATCTTGTAGCTGAGCAGGAACTTGGGCACGAGGAACTTGGTGCCGTGCCAGCCCAGCACGAGCGTTACGTACAGGATGGCAACAGGCACTGTGGCCTGGAAGCTCAGCCCCAAAATAATGGGGAAGATACGCAGCGAGTTAATGATCGTCTGCGACACGATCGTAAACTTAAGTCGTCGTCGCGTCTGGTAGATGGTCATGCCCTTGAGGAAGCAGAAAACCTGCTCGAAGAGGTTCCACAGCTTCGTCTCCGCGTTGGGCTTCGAGTCGGACGCCACCGAGTCTGCCATACTGTCGGCACGATACCGTAGAGAGATGATGTTACGTGCTTCCTCCTCGTTGCCCGCGCCTGTGAACGTGTTGCCGCGCCGTAAGTTTTTGGGGGCGGAGGGCGCGGACGCCGCATGGTCCGCCGAAGCGGGGGGCTGCATCTGCGTGCCCATATCCAGCGTGTAGTCCGTGGCGCTGTCGGACGGCGAGGGCACCGCGAACTCGACACGCATCGGTCCGTTGGTGCGAGGAATGGAGTGCCCGTCTTGACCTATTCTGAGCTGCGGAATTTGGAGCAAACGGCGGCGAGCTGGCTTATTGCCTGAAGTAGCGTGATTACCTCTTAAGTAACGTGAAAATCGTCTTAAGTGGCGTAGACAGGCGGACAGTCAGTGTAATCAGACACAGAGACTGTACATTCAAACGGCCATCAAAATAAAAGCGCTTCCAAGTTGGAAATCCAACACGAGGGTTAAGCGCTTCCGATAACAAGGCATTCAACACGTTAATACTTGTGCAGTAGGCGATTTCATCGATCTAACAATGCTGACTAATCTACTTATTTCATTGCTGGGTAAATGTCTTCGATGAAATTTTCAGGTTTTTGTCATAATCGTTGGTGTGTTGCCAACTTGTGCAGGACCGCGAAGGCAATTTGGCGACGGTAAGCACGCACTTACATGTATTACAGGTACTATAATACAATTCTTCGTGGCATTTTCAGTGCAGCACTCCTCTCGACAAGTATCTTGGTCCAGGATACTCGTCACCTCCAAATGCCTAATTGACTCATTGACTGCTGCGATATGGCAGTCTCAACATGGGATCGCAATAGCCTGGTCTACTTGTAAAACGGCCGCGCAGGATGTCCACGAGTCGTCGTTGACCACTCATGAGTTCGCGTCGCAAATTGCTGTTTTAAAACGCTGTTATAATAACAGTCCTAATCAAATATTATAGTTTCTAGCTGGGGGAGGGCGGGGGGTATATGTACTTCGAAGAATTATAACATATACCTCGGAGCCCAGCGGTGGTCTCCATCGACAATTTGAAGCTCCTAGCCCCTGTAGCCGCACGTACTTCGAACGTGTGTAAGACCCTTGCTGAAATTATGAATTGCCACACGGTAGATCTCATATCGTCCTTGGTTGCAGCCTGCAACTTGCAGGTTGTGCATTACCTTATTAGGAGCTCACTGAAAAAAATTGGCTTCACTTTTTGGGCTCATCAGTAGGGAACGATTGCGACGAAATTCATTTATAGATTAATGTATAATTTTTGTGGATTCGTCTTAGCTGTGAATTCGCCTGCACCTTATAAATACTTGGTGGTTGGTGGTATGACTGTGCTTGGACATTCTCCATTCACTCGAAAGCTTGTACTCAGCAATGGGAACATCGATCTATAAACCTCCGTGTGTGATTAAGTACAACAACAGCATCGGACTTACAAAACATCTGAACAACAGCATCGGACTTACTTCGAAGTACAAAACATCTTAAAAAATATCTAATTCGCACGATTCTATGGGAAGCCCAATAAGGATTAATTTGTCGTCAACTAGGTCAGCGTTCATGCAACATGAATATGAAGTACATCATAATGCTTTGCAAAATAAAATTTTATTCGCTGGCGCTGGTTGATTTTTTAAGAAGGCTCGTACACCCGGACATTTTCTCCGTCCCTGAAAAATTGGGATCCTCTTTTTAAGAAACCTTAAAAAGGCAAACCGATCATAGAATGACTCTAGAATGAATTTCATTTAATGATAAACTGAAACCCCCTACAGTATCATGGCAACGCCTATGACAGGTACTGCGACGCATAGCGAAGCGAGTTGGTTTCTGCAATTCTCTCATCATGAAATACAACGTTTTTGAGTTTAGTTTTTCTACGCCCGTGACAGGATTCAGGTCTATCGAAGAGGGGGGGGGGGCAGATACAACAGCAAAGAGCTCGACAAGTACATCACTTCTGTCAGCTTTTCTTCAGCTCAAAGCTCACAGCAACCTGCTCGGTCTAATTATATATTGCTTTGGCTCAATTCAACCGCTACCGGTAACACATTCCAAGCGTCGATATTCGCCCCCTCCAAATGAAGAAGCAACACTATGGCCAAAGTCAGATCTTGCGCGAGAGCGCACCCGTCGTGGACTTGGCAAGGGAACCACGCGCGAGTCGGTCCTGGCAGTGGGTCTGCTCAGCACTCGTGAGTCGAGACAAAGGAGAATGCTACGTGAACGTGGTGGAGAGTGTTTTCATCGACAAACAGCAAATTTGGTCTTGGTACTTTACAGACGGGGGTGTTGTACGTCGCAAACCTCGCAGCAAACTCACAGCCGATCAAGTACACCGTGCATTCGTCCAGTTTGCTGATGAATCGGATTCTGCAGTGGATCCAGCAATTCGACCTATTGCAGTGTGCTGGTTCGAGAAGAACGACAACCCGACCGCCGTACCATTTCTAAATGCACCAGATCTCTTGTCATTTTTACAATCTGTTTCGTCAAGTAGTTCTTGTAGCGCTGCAATCAGTACATTTGTCCGTCCACGTGGTGAATTGGATCCTGTGTGCTATACTAACCTCGAACACGAGTTCACGTACGTTGAGTTTAGTGCCTAATGCCACGTAATTCTGACACGTTCCTACTGTGTGCCTTCTGTTTTAGTCTTCAGAAAAGTGGTCGCGTGCAGAGTAAAGTGTTCTGGTTGGCTCTAGGTGGTCAACGGATTGCAAGTAAGGACATCAAGCTGAACACGGTCGTCAACGAGTTGGTTCAGCATTTCATAACTTTTATTGAGAGAAACAAGAAATGTCGAGTAGTGCGTTGCGTCTCGCTCTTCATAACGGAAGACAGTGGAAAACTTCAATTGTGGCGGACGTCCTCATGCGAAACCATTGCAGCTACAGCCACGCTGCCTTTAGCTCCGAGGGGGTTTCCAGACGCATTAGTATCGACGTTCTCAAGCTCTTACGAAGGACCACGCGCCATGAACGAAAGACTGATAGCTCGTGCTCGGGCCGAAGGTTCGCCCGACGAACGGGTAGTTGAGGCTATCATGGCAGCTCCAGCATCATATTCCAGCAGGATCTCGACACGACTTTTACCATCTTCGAATGTTTCGAATCGCTTAGACCCCCTTGGAGAAATACAAAGTAGACGTCGTGCAATTCTCAGCTCAACTAACTGGGATGAAGCCTTATCGTTTCTTCCGTCAAGCTTTTCACTGTCTCGAGGACGGCGTCGCACTAAGTCAGCGGCTCACCTTATGTCGAGTCAGAAACGTGGTTGTTGCGGAGATTTCTGTAGTATGTCGATTGCCGAGCTGACTGCACGTAGGATGGATCGAAAGAAGGGGTCTACGTTAAGCGAGCAAGCAGGTCATGCTAGAAAAGGTCGACGACCGACAAGTGTTGACAAAGTCGCAGCTACAGCGAGTGCCTTCATGGAAGTCCGACGCACCGATGATTTGCTCTGTCGCTTGGCCGAGCATCGTAAACCGTCGTCACCACAAAGACTACAGCGTGTCGAAACACAGCAGCCCCCGCCATTGACACACACTATTCCGTTCAAATTGGTAGCACAGACTCGAGCCGAAAAGCAGCTAGTGGATCTGTTCATTCGGCGGTATCAGAATGGAGAAGACGGAGACTACCTCGCCGAGGCTTATTACGGAGATGGTGAACCTCTTGGAGTCACGTTTCCAGGCTACTATTATCGTGACGTACAGGTGTGCGCCAACTGCTACGAGTTCTATATGCTGGTGGAAAAAGTCCGCATGAAAGCTTTGGATCAAATTGCGCGACGCGAGAAAACGAGTCCAAATCGACGAAATCCAGACAAACAGAGCGGCAAACGAGTACAACACCTCACAATAGTTGAGAGTCGAGAGGAGGAAAGCGACGAAGACAACAACAACGATGAGAATTTGGATAGTTTGCAACATGTCTGGAAGCAAGTGTGGGCACAAACTGCCAGTGTGGCTGCAGCTATAACCAAGAAGGACGCCGCGGAATTGTACAGCTTCGTAAATCCGCACCCGGCTGTTGCAATGGTCATGAGTGCACTGGGGGCGTTGCTTCTGGGATCACGAGGTGGGGACTGGGGAGAAGTCAAACGCATTATATCTCAGGATAAACTGCTTGCTCGGTTACATCGTGTGGATCTGGAATCGCTCTCGGAACGAGCTGTAATGCAGGCTGCCGCACATGCTCGTAACCCTCTCTTCACTCCGGCACAGATCGCACCGATCAGTTCATGTGCTGCGCGGTTCTGCGATTGGATCCGCACTGTTCTACAGGCTTATGCGTGGAATCAGCGACTGCAGTTACAAGACTCGCAAACACGACGCATGCTGTGCCTCCTTAAACCAGAGATCTTACCACCCGGTGCTGCAATTTCACAACTACAAGAAGCGCACAGTGAAAAAGTGACGATGAAGAAAGCTAAGCCAACTGATACGAGCAGCGGCGACCTTAAATCGAAATCACGAAGCCGAAAACAAGCTGCTCGACGTGCTATGCAGGCGCATCAAATGGCTCGGCTTGCAGCACCGTCAGGACTCCAAGATGGCGTTGTGGGAAGCACAGCTGACAGCGTATTCACTTGTCAGGATGGCGTCACACAGATTCCATACGCTGTAATCGGGCAGCCTATCGGCGAGACCGTGAAATGCAACCTAGTCGTCTTTCACGACCTCTTCGACACCCTTGAAAGTACTCGCGTGTTTTTCCGGCCTATTGTTGCTCGAAACGTGGGTGCTCAGGCACTGCTATTCAATTTTCCTGGACAAGCTGGTTCATGCTATGCTGTCGACGATCAAGCCCGTGAAGAAGACAAGCTCGTGCTGAACAATATGTGGCTTGCTCGTCGAGTCCACGAGCTGCTCAATTTCTTGCAGCACACGACTCAGTTCGTAACCACGGGTGCTCCATTCCACATCGTTGGCTTTGGCAACGGAGCCAACGTCGCTACATGCTACACCGTGCTGTACGGTAAGAATTACGATGGATATTTGCAGTCACTGGCGCTTTTCAATGGGTTTGCAAGCGTCGATGCACAGCTCGCCGCGGTGCTTCACAGTGCAGTGAATGTTTTTGCCTGCCTGCCACCGACACGTCCCGATTTGCCCGTTTCTTTCTTCAGCAAGTTCCTCTTCTCTGAAGCGTATCTGCAAAAAGTCGACATGAACTTAGCGCTGAGTATCTATACAGCTGTGACCAACGCCATCACGCTTGATGGTCGCATTCGTTTATGTCGTGGAGCACTTCGTCACGTGGATCTGAGCTCGCAACTTGAAGAAATTGACGTGCCACTTGTACTCGTTCAGTCGGTGGAAAACACTCTCGTAGCTCCTACAAACGTTGATCCATTTCTTCAAGGCCGTGCCAACGTACAGCACGTGTGGTCGCATCAACAATCACACACCAGTGACCTGCGTCCCAAGACCCGTGCGCAGTTGAGGAAGGCTCTAGCAACGCCTAGCAGTGCCTTTGTATCGTGGCTTCGAGCTGGACATGAGCTTCGTCAGGAAGCGAAGAGCTACGTCACTGAGGTGATAGAGATGCTGGTCAACTGTCAACTGGAGATATTGGAGAAGGAGCAGATAGCTGTGCAGGAACCCGACGAGAATCAAACAACAACACCAAACGAGCACGAAACAGCGACGAGAAAGGAGTTAGCGGCTCGACAATCTAACGTAAGCCAAACCGTTCAAGCTGCTTCATCAACATCAGAGGTACCAATTCAACCTTTCGACTCACCAGTTGATAAGTCATTCCAGCTAACCAGCAAGTCTCCGTATGAACTTCAGTTGGAAAGGTCCGAACGTTCTTTCCAGGAGGCCTTACGCACGCGCGAAGCACAAAAAATTGCGTACGAGAAGAAAAAGTGGCAGCAAAACGAGGTTAAGACGATACCTCCAGAGGTGTCTGCACCAACGACTGAGGCTTTAGAGATCTCAATAACTCAATCGGTTGTGCCCATGGACATGCTGCTACCTCCTGCTGTTCCCCCCGTAGTGCTGCATTCGCAACAAGAACCAGATCCTGGCAAAGAAGCTGAAACACCAGAGAATCAGCAGCACGAGAAGAGTAACAGTGCTCAGATGGACGACGATATCAAGAGCGTTCGAGCCAAAATCCATGCCGAAGAAGAACGGCTCGAGAAAGAAGCAGAAGAACAACGTCAAAAACATCGCGCTGCAACTGAGGAACGCATGACTGCTCTACGAGATGAACAAGAGCGGAGACGGCGTGAATGGGAACAAGAAGATCGCGACCGATTGGCAGCTCTGGAGGCACAATTGCAAGCCCAACAGGCTGAACGGCTCACTGCGTCCAAGCAACGGGATCTGGAGCAACTCGCACAGGATGAGGCTGTCATAGCTGCAAACAACGCAGTCTTGGAAACACCATTGTTGACGCTAGAGCCATCCGTCGAAATGCCGACCTCCTTGATGCAATCTCCGAGTACATTGTTGGCTCCGTCGGTGAAGGAAACACGACAGATGATTCGACAGCAACCAGAACTCCCGAGCATATTCGATCAACTCGAGGCAGAAGAGCAAGTTCGTAAAAAGCGAGCGCAAAAGCGACGATCCCTTGGACCTGGTTTCGAGACTGGAAGCCATCTCACAGGTGAGCAGTACGACGAGGTGCGTTCTTCACTACAGCAAGACTTCCGCGAAGACACCCGAGCAAACGAGTCTAACATGAAGCGTGAGTTGAGACGAAGACGTGACGCTCAAGCCACGCGAGTTCAGAAGTACATTCGTCGGTTCTTAGCCACTTGTCGAGTTGATCGTATACGTCGTGAAACGCAGCAGGAGCGCGTCAAAAGCTTCGCTGGGGGAGAAATTGTCCGCATAGTTCGAGGCCGACTAGGCCGTCGACGCTTCCGTCGTGTGTTGGAGGAGAAGCACGAAACAGCAAGACAATTGCAGGCTGCCACACTCATTGAGACCGCCTTCCGGGGGTTCTTTTGTCGTGTTGCGTACCGCATAATGCGACGAGAAAGCAAGGCGCGAATGCTGCAGCGGGTCTATCGTGGACATCTTGGTCGCAAACGTGCTCGAAGACAGCGTGAGGAACAAGAACGACGTCGCTTTCAAGACCGAAATGCAGCTAAGCTGCAATCTACTTGGCGCATGTACGTCGCTCGTGGCCAATTCCTTACTGCTCGGTTTTCAGAGCTTGCGGCACTAGAGATCCAGAGGATGTATCGTGGTTTCTTGGGACGTCGGCAAGCTGCACGCAAGAAGCAGTGGCGTGATGCACCGCCTGGAGCTGAACGACTAGCACTTGGGCTACAACTGATTGAAGGCTCGAAGCAGGCATTCGAACGACAGCAGAGCGAGTTAGACGCTTTGCATCGAGCACAAGAAGCAGCCGAGCGTCAAGTGAGCGCTGTCCATAACGAGTTACGTGAAGCTGAGAAAGAGCTGGCTGTGTTGGAACGCGAGCTGCAAGAGATCGACCAGCTTGATGCGGACGTACGTGAACTGACGCATGAAGCCGAGCGTTTGCATGCTGGTGGAGTTGAGGGTTTGCTGCGGAATCACCGTTCATCGTCAGCGCATCAACCTCTTGGGAACGGCATACCCGAAGCTTCCACTTCACTGGATAACAGCGATGGCGTACCGTATGAACTTGGAGCGGAGAACGCGCTGGAGTCGAAGGAGGCACTCAAGAAGCGTCAAGCTGACGCATATGCCGTTGAGATGGCGCTTACTATCAAACGCAGTGAGCGCGAAAAGAAGAAGCGGGATCTGGAGGCAGAATTTGCTGGTGCTTTTGCTGAGGTACAACGCAAACGGGAGGATCTGGCAGCACTGGAAGAGCGTCTTGCCGACATGGAGCAGACACGTATGCGCAAAGACCGCGAGTTTGCGCGCCTGCAACGCCATTTGATGGAGCTGCTGGAGGAGCAGAAACTTGAGCTCGAAAACTTGAGAGAAAAGGGCATTGAACTCGAGACGGCGACGGCCACGTCGGCAGCAGCTGCAGCGGCTACAGCGGCTAAGGCACGAGAACACGAGGAACGATCTCAGGCCATGTTCGAGTCCACAGAAGAGCTCATGAAGTTCCAGTTCATGTCCATGTCGTTGTCGTACTTCAGTTCGCTCAACATGCTCAAGAACTTACGAGATATTAACGCTGACACCACAGCCGCTGCAATCACGTCCACAGCAGAGACTGCCGCCACGGCTGCTTGTGCCGCTGCCGCCGCCAACATCACGCCGGTCACTGCAGCTCTCGCCAAGAAGAAAGCAGGAGGAGATGCCATCAGCAAGTTGCTCACGACGGTCTCGCAGCGTAAACAACAGGAGCTTACACAGCAACAGCGTGAAGAAGAGGAAGCCCTGGCTCCAGGAAAGCAGCAGCCATTGCCCGTGGAACTGCGTGCGTGGACAGTAGACGATGTGGGTCGATGGCTTGACACTTTATCGCTGCCTCAATACAAGGCAGCATTTCGTGAAGGCGCAGTGGATGGCGAGTTCCTCATCGAGCTTCGAGCCGAGGACATGGCCGAGATCCTGGGCGTAACGCACAAGTTACACGTGCGTAAACTGTTAACAGCTCGAAGTAAATTGCTGCCATTGACAGCTGCGGAACGGGCTCAGCTGGATGCTGTGAACCATGAGACCAATGCAGCGCGTACTCGAGGACAGGAACCGGCTGGAGACGAGAGTTCGTTGGACGTGGATACCGTGTTCTCGCAGGCACGCAATGGACGGATGAAGAGGCTTGTTGAAAGTCTGGATGCTGGATTCCCCATTGACGGCGAAGACGACAAGGGTAACACGCTGTTGCTGCTTGCATGTCAGAATGTAAACCAGAAAATGGTGGAGCTCCTGGTTGCTCGTCGGGCCAATGTCAATCACTGTAATGCACAAGGCAACACACCACTTCACTTCGCCATGGCATATGACAGTGAAGGCGTACTGGGCGAGTACCTGATCGCTCACGGCGCTGACGACACCATCGAAAACAACAGCGGCCTCACACCCTACGACGGACTTAGCCACCTATCTCACATAAAATAGTAGTACAGTATACAACAAGTTAATAGAGACATTCGCTCCAGATCGCGAAATATTGTTTGCTGTTCATTCTGCTGGCGTAATGCTTCTTCACACCGATTAGATAATACATACGCACGGCACACTCGCCATCACAATCGGGTACCTTTCTCGCTTGGTTTCATTCGTCGACGATAATTCCTTGCTCAGATCTGCAATTGCTTGAGGCGAGGTCCTTGTTACTTGGATGTTGTATTCTCATAATCTTAGGCGTCCACCCGACCCTCGGCACCAGCGCGTGACTGCGATGCCATCATGCGGTTTACAGCGTTCACGTAAGCTGTAGCAGAGGCAACCAGGATATCCGTATTAGCACCGTGGCCGACGAACTGGCGGTCACGCGTGACACCCGTCTGCGCGTTCACGTGCTTCTCGCCCTCCGTCTTCTCCTCCTCTTCCTTGTCCTCCTGCACTCGCACAGTGACCTCACCCAGAGCGTAAGTGCCATCCGTGACACTCTCCACAGAAAAGTCGTTCAGCTTGATGCTCTCCATGCCCGTTGCACGCTTGATAGCAACGTAGATGGCGTCAATCGGACCAGTTCCCATGGCAGCCTCGCTCACCTCCTGGCCGTCCTTGTGCGCAAGCGTGACGGTAGCCGTCGGCTTCACGAGGTTGCCAGCAGTGACGTGCACGGACTGTAGCGTCCAGAACGTCTCGGGCTTGAACAGCTCATCCGACACAATCGCCTCCATGTCAGCATCCGTGACCGTCTTCTTCTCGTCAGCCAGCACTTTGAACTTCTCGACGTAGTAGTCGAGCTCCTCCGGGGTGAGGTTGGTGTAGCCAAGCTGCTGGAGACGCTTGCTGTAAGCGTGACGACCCGAGTGCTTGCCGAGCACCATCTTATTCTCGCTCAGACCGACAGACTCCGGCAGCATGATCTCGTACGTGGCCTGGTGCTTCAACACACCGTCCTGGTGGATACCAGACTCGTGAGCGAAGGCGTTGGATCCCACAATGGCCTTGTTGGGCTGGATGGACATACCGGTGTAGTGGCTCACCATGCGGCTGCAACGCGTGATCTGCGTCGAGTCGACGGACGTGTACACAGGGAAGTGCTGCGGACGGGTTTTCAGAGCCATCACCAGCTCCTCCAGAGCCGTGTTACCGGCACGCTCACCGATGCCGTTGATAGTAACTTCAGCCTGACGCGCGCCGCCCTGCACAGCAGCCAGAGTGTTGGCCGTAGCGAGACCAAGGTCATTGTGGCAGTGCGTGGAGAAAATGGCCTTGTCGCTGCCCTCCGTGTTGTCGATCAGGTAGCTGAAAAGCGACCCGTACTCGCCTGGGACTGTGTAGCCGACAGTGTCGGGGATGTTAAGCGTGGTGGCGCCGGCCTTAATGACCTCAGCGAGGACATCGCATAGGAAATCGGGGTCACTGCGTCCAGCATCCTCCGTGGAGAATTCAACATCCGGCGTCAGGCTCTTGGCGAATTTAACGGCGTCCACAGCACGACGAATGCACTCATCACGCGAGATCTTAAGCTTGTACTGGAGGTGAATGTCGGACGTGGCCAGGAATGTGTGAATGCGGTGCTTGGGCGCGTGTTTAACAGCGTCGTAGCAGCGCTGAATGTCTTTCTCCATAGCGCGAGCAAGACCACAGATAGTCATGGGCTCGCCCGTAGGACGGCCGGCTGTGATGGGGCCAATCTCCTTGGCAATGGCTGACACGGCGTCAAAGTCACCCGGAGACGAGATGGGGAATCCAGCCTCGCACACGTCCACGCCCAGCGTGCTCAAAGCACGAGCGATGTCCAGCTTCTCTTTGAAGTTAAGCGTAGCGCCGGGTGACTGTTCCCCGTCGCGCAGCGTCGTGTCGAAGAGCACGAGGCGCTCCTTGCCAGCCTCGGCGGCGGCGGCGTTCGAGAAGGCGCGACGCGCGTTGGCCTTGGCTGCGGTGGCCGAGCGCTTAGCGATCGTCTGCATCATGCTGCAACTATGGACTGGGCTAATGATGGTGAACGAGAGTGCAGGTCACTTGGGCTGGTGAGCTCCAAAAACCAAAATGCGGAATGGGAGGAGCCAGAACCACGTACCGAGGTTGAAGACTGAGATTGATGATTGCTCAAACAATGCGCACCACCAGCATCAGTTTCCTGGCTGACCAATGAAACAGCAATGCTCTATTATTTTGGCCAATAGAACAATATTGACGTTCAGGTGGTGTGGCGAAAAAAGGGGATTCATAAAAATCTCCTGGCAAAGAGCTGTCCGGTGCTTGCCTTGCATCACGGTGGTAACCACAAGAATGTAGCGCGGTCGTTGTTGTGGACGAAAGAAAATGGTTGCGTACATGTAAACGTACGTGCCCGTCTTTAGGAAATTCCGCTGTACTTATGGCGAAGAGGACAGCAAGAGAAGGCTTCACTGGCAAGTTCAACATGGTCCTCGCTTCACATATCTTGTGTCGTGAATCAACTGAAACATTTAGATTACAGTATTTTTCTGCTTGGGATTGCTGCGAAGTGGCGATCGCGTTCATAAACCACTTTAGGCGAAGTGGCTGCATCAATCTGTTTGATTAGACTTGGAGCTCGTGACCGATCTCGAAGGTGCTATCCCTCGCTTTAGTGCTGCTGCGGTTCTTTCCTTTTGAGATGAGTTTCACGAGATGCGCATTGAGAAGACGAGTACCGGTAAAGCGACAAGTTTCCACTTTACGTTACTTGGTACTGTCTCATGGTCCACTGTGGATACACTGTGCCATTTCAATGGTACACAATTGAGCGCGACCTCCCATTGGATGATTTCTCGATGACCGTTACTCCAGCCTGCGCTATGCCTCAGTAATCGCTAGACGGAGCCGGTCACACAAGTCCCCTCATCATGGCGTCTAGGCCGCTGCACCCCAGCAACGGCAATAGCTCTCCTGCCCGGCACACCGTGGTGCAGCGATGGATCAACAGTGTTGCACCAGCGCCTCACTCCCCCAAGCCGACGCATTTCCCTGTGAAGAGATGGCCACCTCCGAAAGTTGAAGACTCTCCTGTCATCGCGACACCAACACCTATAAATAAAACGACGGTGACGGAGCCAGAGGTGGGGAAGAAGTCCTCGACATTCCAAAATGCGCGAGCCGTGTTTGAAGCCAAGAAATCAATTGCAGCTACTCCGCCTCCACCGCCGCCTCCGGTCCGTCACGGTTTGACGCTCACCGCCTCACCACTAGCTCCTGTTGTGAAGCAGCACTCTTCCTCTTCGGATTTATCAGCATCGTCATGCAGCACAGCGGATTCCGAGGCCGATCGCAAGCTGGAAGAAAGCTTGAAAGAGAAACAGAAGCCAGTGCCAGTATCACCGGTTCGCGCTATGCTGAAAAGGACGGAGAGTGAAGCAGGCGTACCTACACCTTCCAAACCAATTGCAGTGAACGCATTGATTCCTTTAACGAAGAGTTATCCGCCTGCTCAAACACAGCTACCACACGATCCTAGCGTGATTCTGACAACGCCAAAGCAAGCGGAACAAAGTCCACCTGATTGCTATGAGATTGACCCGTTCCATCTTCTTCTCCCTGTCGAAGCCGTTCCAACGCTTCCAGACGAGGTAATCAGCGTTTACGACAGTGCCGCAGTCGATATGGAGAAGAACATCAAGAAGGTGGCGAATAAGGTGCTCAAGAAAGACAAGGTTCGATTGGAGGAGTTCAAAGTCAACTCTAGGTTATTTGGGACCGATTTCATGGATGCGCATGCTTACCTGGACACACTTATCAAGGATTTTGGGCCTATTCGTGCATTGCAGCTGGTACCGTGCTTGCTAAGCGTCCAGCCAAGTATGGTGAAGTGTAATGCTCTACTTCTCAATGCCAAAAATTACTTGTTACGAAACAAAGATGAACTGGAACATGAAGTCAAGAGTTTGCGAGCATCAAGTTCCCGGAAGATCGCTGTGGTGGTCACTGGTAACGAGCTGACAGCCGTAACAATTGATGCTGTTGCATCGAAGGTGTCTCCAGCTGAAGCCATAACTCAGACACATGCTGTGTTTTTTTCAAATGAGGTCGACAACAGGGTAAATCTAACAGGTGGAGATCGA